TTTGTGTGTGTTTCTGTGTGGGGATCCTTTATTTTACTTTCAAACCCTGAGCCAATATATCGTACAATATTACCAACGTGACGCATGGCACGTTTCTTCGGCACTGGAGCTATATGTAGCATTTAATGACATCCGATGAAGAAATTATATTAGATCATGGTGTAGCCGATTTTTATCTCTGACATAAGAATGATAACCATCTACCGAAAACACCACTGTAACCCCGAATGGATCACTTAAGAACGTAAGAGTGGGGATCCATTTTATAGAGAAGGTCTTGATTGGACTTCCAATAAAATTGTTTTCACTTGTTTGCATATCAATCAATAGTTCGTGCTTACAAATTAAACCTGCATTTCCCCTGCAGTCTCTTAGTGTCACTGACAAAAGGTAGTGGATGTTACCTGAAACATCTGACCCTCTCCAAAATCATATCCAATTGCTTATTACCTGGATGTCTAACCTTCACCGACGTATCAAGGTCTTGATTGGTTGAAGCGTCAATGCGCGGAGCAAGAGATTATCGTACAGGATAATATCATATAGAGGAAACATAATGCAATGATGAGGACACGATATCGCCAGTGTTGAAAGTTGGTAAAAGATGTGTGAGTGCCGGTTGTCGATCAGAAATGCCCCTCCGGTGGCCTCACTTGATATTACACACACGCGGTCGGCAGGACGCCCAGCCACGGACGGTCACGGTCACCTCAGATCTGCAGAATATTATTTTTCCAATTCCAAGGACATCGCGATTCGGCATCCACATTCAACCAATTGCTAGCAACAGTTAAAGACGTTCACGTAATTTTCCAATTTATTACAGCCTATAAGCATGGTGTCTTACATGCTATAATGAATAGGCGCTGTCACAAAACATATGTTTAAAGATAAATATATGCGTTTGTAGCATTTGATAGAGGCATCTTCCGTCCTTTAGAATATAGAGTGTGGGGTAATGAATTACAGTAATCAACAGGACGAAGATCTGGAGCGGAAATTGAATCGGTGCAGTCGTGTCCGTCCATCGGTTATTGTGATTTGGGCTGATATCAGCTCTGTTAGCCAATGACAGTGTCTTCCTTCGGCCCAACAGTAGAAAATCTAAACAAAAAAACACACAGAACACATAAACAAGTGTCCATTTAGGTGACAATTCTCCGTGAAGTTTTATATTTTGCAAATATATATGATCAACAACACGACAATCTGAACGATAATCTATGTTATAATCTTTCATAACAATATCTTTTCTTTACTACATATTATTTATTTGATAAGGTATCGTAGTAGGAGCAAACCAGTCACAATCACAGTTACAAATAAGAGACCTGTTGTCAAATGGTTCCCTGGAAATGATGTTGAGAATGACAGCCTTACTGATATGATGGCGACCTCTACTCCGAAGTCCTAACGAAGAGGAAATGCACTCTGAAACGATTTCGTCCGTAATTATATATTCAGTCCGGAAACTGTTCTACACCCGCTGGGTATTCACGCACATTTTGTTAAGCTATGAAAAAGCCTGGGGCGGCCTCCCTACGGCATGTAGACTTTCCATCATGTTGTGTAATTCATTCAAGAAGCGAAAAAAAATCAGGCCCTGAATGAGGTGTGATGTAACGTAGGCCTTAACCACGGTTACGGCAGTGCCTGTCCTTGGTGCTGAAGAGGTGGAGGTGATGATTTGCGCTACTTTCCCGAACTAGGAAATGCTTCTGATTCTGTTTAAACGCTGTTGATGCGATCTAAGCAGACATATCATGACAGAAGTGAAATGGTGGAGCTGTAATGTGTATGAAGGAACAAATGGTGCAAAGACATGCGGCACTACACTTTTGTCTTCCTTCTAGTCCGAAGGAACGTTCTTGTACGTTTGATGATTCTTGCAGTATGTCCTGTGAGCAGCTTGTAGATGCTTGCGTTAGACGACTAACAAGCGTGTGTTTCGTAAGGAGAATAAGGTCGGAAACGACACGTATGTTGTCTTCCTACAGATACGTGACGGATATGTATATACATATGACGGATACGGATATATAAATATTGGATACTGACTGGTAAATCAAAAAGAAGTATATATCTTTCATTCACAATTACTACAGTAACGAGAACAATGATTTCACTGAAATTAACGTCTGCCTTGCCGTTATGTAAGATATTCCATATGAGCAAAGAAAGAGTGGGCGAGTTCTCTCTCGTAACTTTCACAACAAAATAGGTGAAATGAGAGTCTTGGCACGTGCGGATGTCATCCATACAAATTACCTATTACACCGTAAGTAGCCCTGGTTTGCATGCAGCACTCATGATCCGAAATCCAGAGTCGAGAAACATTGTGAGGAGGGATTACAGTCTTTTCTACGGTGCACTTACGAGGATGAAGCCTACTGTGTTATTACTGTGGGTCAGGCGTGATAAACAGGATTTACAAAACGTGATCAAAATACTTCATTGTTTTGTACTTCCCGTATGTTTTTTTTCAGCGGGGAAGGCCAGCGTTAGAATCTGTCATCACGAAACAAAGAAATGTCTGTACTAGATATGTAGACATGAGGAAAGGCACCGGAGGCGAAGACTAAAGACAAGGAATACTAAGAATAACCTTCAATTTTGCACTTACGAAACAGCTTTAGCTTTAGGGTAACGAAGTGTAGAGATTAGGGAGCCCTTGATGTAAGCATGCAGCTTGGAATCACTGTCCATGGCAGAAATAGGACCAGAAAATAATTCCCTTTACTGTCGTTTTACGTTTCAGCAGCTGTAAGACCCTCATGTAAATGATAAGAATGTAAACTGCCAATCTTCCGAGACGCGTTTGTAAACCTGCCTGGTCGAGTACTTCACACAGGTCAGTCGTCCAGTTGCTTTTCATGCTGTCCATTTATGCTGTGTGTCCCACGGATCGATGTAAATCGATGTAAATCTATTCAACTCATCACGTGAGGGACACCATGATACTTGCAATTATTCATTTACAATTCATACAATTTATCTCGTATTGGTCAGGTAAATGAGGGAACATTGACTTTTCGTTTTCCAGCAGGCTCCTTTTTTATCCAAAGTTCCATCATAGAGTTATAGGTAATTATAAAAAAGGTTATTTCTGATGTGTCATATCGTTCATAATCTATCAAAGCAAGATATTTGTGGGCATATTTCCCTTCCACAATATAAAATCCCACAACGCACGGTTACGACTCGATTTTACAAATATCTGGCATTCCCTACGTTTGATTTCTTCTAAGGAATTAAACGAAACAGATTTAATCAATCTTCCCGAACTTCAGAATTTCGTAGGATAACAGGTTGCTACATTTGCGGCAGAATATTGCCCAGGCCCAGGGGTAGCGGTGAAACTACTCCAGGTTTCATATACGCCACAAAACTTGCAAAGGAATATTGAAGAAATACATCAAAGTTTCCGTTATTTTTTTAATGCTAAGACCAAAACTTCGGAATTTTGTAGGGTAACAGGTTGCTTCATTTGCAGCAGTATTGCCCCGGCCCAGGGGTAGCGGCGAAACTACTCCTGGTTTCATATAACCCAACTTGCAAAGGAATATTGAAGAAATACATCATTTTTTACCGTTATTTTTTTAATGCTATAAGACCAAAGCCCGCATGTGTGTTTCCGAGAAGTGCGCTATGACTGATATCCCCTCCATCTCGCCCGTTCCCCGATCCTATCACTCCGGTACCGGTAATCTCCAGCAGACTAGTCATGACTGATGGCGGATTTCCCCGGCAGAGGCAGCCAAACGCCGGGCGTCTTCCATCTTCCTGCCTGACGCTAAGTCAACATTTATTGACTCCAAGGCGACGTGAAGATTG